TTTTTTTTGAAAAACCAGACGTTACATAGATGCTAAAAGGTAGATTACAGCCCCTTTTCAGTGATATGTACCACCGCATATGGGGGGGGGATAGGAAAGGGGTAGAAATTGAAAATTTCTAAATTTTTTGCACCTAAAGATGGTCAACAAACTATTTGATTCGTCCGTGGAGCTACGCTAAGACAATGGAACTTACGGAAAAGGTCTTTCAAAAATCTTTGGGACTTTACTTTTTACTTTCGACTACGTTAATTTGCACTGAGTCAGACAACACATAGCCAGTCGCAATCGATATATCGATTTCTCTTGGGCGCTGAATTTGCTTGTGAAGGCAGATTTTCGCACTGATATTTCTAAGAGTTCTTCGAATGTATCTGCATAAACATTTTTTTCTGAGCTCTACCCAGTCCCAGTTCCCCCTCCATATTTCTTTGCTTACTCGAAAACAACTCCAGCCCAAGACGTGAGCACAGATACTGCTTTCCTCCATCCACTATAGAAATCCAAATATCTTCGTTTGATTCTCATATTGAAAGCATAAGTTCAATAAGATTCTGGTCTCTAAAGATCAATCAATTGCTGTATAAATGTGAGACTGCGAGCAATTACAGACATCTCATTAGTGCGAGTCGCAGTCTGTTAGAATAGAATTTTTCTCTACTCAGAAACGCAATTTCGTAGGAGAGCATAGTTGCTCCTCATTCTCTATATTGCTGGATTTTTAATGTAGTCTCTATAGCCTCTTATGAAAAGTATGAGGGTGTAATCATCCCACAGCTTCTGTTAAAGCCGATTATACAGAGCAAAAACACAGATAAACAAGTGATAGCATCGAAGATAGGAGGGTCAAAGCACGAATATTATACAGAACGATACCTTCGTAGTCAGAGCAAGCTGTAGCGGTGCTAGAGGCGTTGAAAGATGTGATCTCACTGGGTAAAGGTGAGATTTTCTGCTGCATTTGGGCTCCTAGCAAAGGAGAGCTTGGGCTGAGTCCATTGTGTACAAGGCCAAGATTTATCGGACTAAGACCTATAATGGGCGAGCTGTGTGTTTAGTCACAAGAAAAGAGAAAAGATTAACCCTTACCCGTGGACAACCCAGCAGCAAGACTTGTCGCTAACGACTGATTCAGTGTCTGCTGCAGATTCTGCGCCAGATTCGTGTTCAACTGGATGCTTTGATTCAATGTTTGATTGAGTGTTTGATTCAAAGTTTGTGTAAGCGTGTGAAATTGTGGGACAATCGGCGATCCACTCGGTGCTGTGATATGCGTTTTTGGAATCTCAAACGATGTCGATGGTCCTCCACCGACAGCGGTTACCGCTTCCTCGTCTGCATTATATTTCTTCATAATCTCATCAATCACTGAGGTATCTTCTGCAAAATTCGATTTTTTCTGGGGATACCGAAAAAAATTATTATGTCATGCTTACCAGCGAGGTTTTTGCGGAACTCGTTGTAGATAAGAGGTCCCCAAATAGGATCTCGTTCTATAAAATTCTGCTCGGTCATGCCGATCATTTGCTGACCGGTGAGATTCGCAAACTGAAAAATGCATTAGATTTTTGGGGTATGTATTTTTTCCCAATGATCTTTCAACAAATAAAGATTATTCTCCAAGCTATGCGACCACGGCTCGGCACAGGTGGCTTATAAGCAAGCTGGATATCGTTTTT